ACAGCAATACCGTGGCCATGCTGGCAGTACTGTATGCTTCTAGGACCTAGGCTAACTTGGACCCATCCTAGGCATATGCCCCAACAACTGTACTTTCTCCCAGCCTATGTATGATTCTACTTATGTAAAATGCCCAATATATGTGAATTCATAGAAACAGGAAGTAGATAGGTAATGCCAGGAGCTGGAAAAAAGGGAAATGAGGATTGGCTATTAATAGAAAATGGCCATCTTTTTCTAGGTACTAAAAGTCTTTTGGGTCTAGAGAGATAGTACAGGAGTTAAGGCACTTGCCATGCATGCAACCAACCCTGTTTCAATCTCTAGCACTGCTTATGGTCCCTTGAGCACCACTAGACGTTATCCATATTTTTCATCTCTCTCTATATATATATGTATATGTATACATATATATATATATGCACACAAGGCTTAACCCTTAACAACATATTAGTCATCTTTTATAGAAGGGTGTAATGGTCCTGGGTGAAATACAACAATCTCCCCACACTCTCTTCTAAGGAAAATTTTTGGAGCATTTCAGCAGTTTATTCATAACAAACAATACAAAATAATTTATTTCGATTCTGCATGTGACAAGGGTTGGAGTTTGGGATGGAAACATCCAAAATATGGTGGTGGGAATGTATATTGGTGGTGGGATTGGTGTTCAAAGATTAAATGTTATCAAATACTGTGAACTACTTTATAAAAATAAAATAAAACTAAAATTAGACCAAAAGGAGGTATGGTGCCACCAGCAGGTCAATCTGTACCTGTGAGGCATCAGCAGCCTGATGGCACCTTCAGACTTCCAGATACCCCTAAAATTGCTGCTGTGCCTTTGGCCAGACCCCAAAAACTTGGAGCTAAGTTTACCAAGAAAGTAAATGGCCAAAACTTAGGTATGTGGGAGACACACCCACAAATCACCTTCAGATCAGCTATATAACTGGATGCATGGCCTCTCTAGTTCCTGATCAAGCTGTTTAATGGCCATGATCCCAGAGACACAGAAACAAATTGCAGAACCCAGGGGCTTTTTGCAGAAATGCGTCCAGTCCCTGCAGTAGGTTACTGGTGCTGGGCCACCCCAGGTGGGAATAGGTTTCGTGCCTTGGCCTGTTCCCCCTGGCGGCCCAGTGGCTGCCATCCTCCAGAGGCCACTGGACAGTCAGGTTTGGGCCCGCAGTGATGAGATACGCTGGGCTTCACGGGATGGTGGTGGAGCTGGCCCTTTCTTCCCATTCCAACGAGACCACGAGTCACTGCCCACAAACGGCCTCTCTGGTTCCTGATCAAACTGCTTAATGGCCATGATCCCAGAGACTCAGAAACAAATCTTGAAACCCAGCGACTTTTGGCAGAAATGTGTCCGGACCGCGAAGTACGTTACTATCGCCGGGCCACCCCATGGGGGAAAGGGTGCTGTCCCTCCACCTGGTCCCACTAGGCAGCTCAGTGGCCACCATCCTCCAGAGGCCATTGGACAGTCAGGTTTGGGTCCTCAGTTATGAGACACACAGGGCCTCACGGGATGTGAATGGAGCCGGCCCTTTCCTCTCCTTCCCAACAAGACCCTGAGTCACCACCCAAGAACAGCCTTTCTGGCTCCTGATCAAGCTGCTTAATGGCCATGATCCCAGAGAGTCAGGAACAAATCTCAGAACCCAGCAGGTTTTGGCAGAAATCCCTCCAGATTTAATTGTTAAAATTTCAGAATTTCAAAATCGTGTGGCCACTACTGCAGCCACACGCCATCATATTTTATTCATAACCAGCAATAGAAAACAAATTGTCTATGGTTGCCTTTTCAAAAATCTGAGTGTTGTGGTAAAATCCCAAATAATAATGGTAGGTCTGGTGTCAAAATATTGAATGTAATCAAAGCAGAGAGAGAGTAATGTAGAAATCATCTTCCCCACAGGTAGGGGAAGGGTGTGGGATGGGGGTATTTTGGGGTTTGGGGGGTGGAGAATGGGCACTGGTGAAGGTATGGGTGTTTCACTGTATGACAGAGACTTAAATCCAAAACCTTTGTAACTACTCTCATGGTGATTCAATTAATAAAATTATAAAAAATGAAAAAAGTAAGGTGGAGTTCATGCCCAATTCAATTAATTAATTCAATTGGTTCAAGCCCAGTTCAATTAATTCAATTCAATTAATCAGTGGCTGAATAAATAGCAGTACCCCTATATAAAAAATTAAACCAAAAAATAAATTCACTGGTCTCAGCAATCAGAGCCTAATATTGTTTTCTATATGTTTACTTAATTTCCTGCCCTGCACAAACTCTTGTGAAATTATCCCACTGAAAAACCTCAGTATTAGTCCAGAGCAATCGTACAAATAGGGTTCTTGCCTTCTGTTTAGCCAACCTAACAATCCACACCATCACATATGTTCTCCAGAGCACTATCAGGACAGAAATAAGCCCTGGTCACAGATTGTGTGGCCCATCCGCCCCTACCTCGCACACACACCCCATAAAAACCTGGTATTCCCTCTGTATTTAGCTCATCTGTTCCTTTTCTGTGCCAGAAGCCATCTACTCCTCAGATTATTACCCAATACCATTAGCCACAGGACAGATCACATCATTCGGGGTTCAGGAGATCAAAGAGGTGAAAAGTTTCATAAAGGAGGCTACACTTACACAGTCTCCTCAAGAGCAGGTTGAAATGGAAGGTAAATACTTTTAGTAACAAGGATAGCACAAGCAAATGCATGACAAGTAGTTTCTAAGGACAAAGAGTTTGGGTTCAAACAATTGTGGTTTCAAATCCTAAGTCTAGTAACTATGTTACCTTATTCAATTTAACCTCTTGAGAGTTAAGTTTAAATCATTTTTAAAAATGTAAATAACAACATTTTCCCTTCTACGAATTGTCAGGTTTAATTGAAGCTGTACTAAACATCAGACACATTCTATAGTCTTAATTTATAAAAAGCATTTATGTACCAAGTAGTCAGCATGAATTATTTTTTGGCAAATAGTAGTATCTAATTTTGTCCACGTTGTTGAGCAATGGGTATAAAATCTGGAAAAGTAAACTAAAACCAGACTAACTTAGGGTTTTTGGGAGTGGGCTTCCCCCAGAAGTGCTCAATGCCCTGTGGTCATTCCAGTTTATGTTTAGTCATGCTAGATGAACCTGAGTTTATGATGGCCCTAGACTCAGTAGTGCTGAAGACTGGGGAATGCTGAAGATGAAATTCTCAGAAGACTCCTTTGAGCTTTCTCCCTGCCCTGCACAGAGCAAGTTGTTGACCGGTTAGTGGAATTTGATGAAGGGGGATATCCGTGAGGGGATAGCATGAGAATAAAGAGATCAAACTCAACATTTGTATACAGAGGAAAGGAGACAGCACATAGTGAATGAGGGAGATGTTGCTTTGAAGAATGGGCAGAAGTGGACAACATGAAACTTTCCTGTAATTCCTTCTCCTTTGGGGTCTACCTTTTCCATTTTGAACTTCATTTGGATATGAATCACGTCTATTTTGTTCACATCTCCATATCAAAAGCCTTGTACAACATCTGATTTATAGAAGGTGCTAAAAATGATTACTGAATAAGCAAATGATTAGGATTATGGGGAGTGGGTATGAAAAATGAAAAGGTTTCAAGAATTCAATCACAGATGACTGAAATAAGACAAAGATTGGAGAAGCAAGAATGATGCATTTAAATTTGGGGTTCTGTGAGTTTGTGAGGTTGAGAGTATAGCCTCAGAGTCATAATTTGCCAAATTCCCTGAATTGACCCCAGAGTATAGAAATAAGGAAGGGCTGTTATGACATGGAGCTTTATTACCATATGCATATCTAAGAGCTCGTGGGATAAAGTGAAACACCAAGGGCAAGAGAATCCCACAGGAATCACTCAGAAAGGCAAAGAGGACACTAGGAAGTAACAAGTAATAACCATCTCTAGAGCCAGACAAAAGGGCAAGAAACAGGGTTAGATTAAAAAAAAGATGTTGCAATCCCAGAGAGACCAGCATGAGGAGGATCAAAGAAGGTACCATGGAAGTCATATTTATCATGATTCACAACAAACTAGTAGCTGGAGGTAAAATTCTAGTGATACCTAGTTGATTTAAGAACTTTTAAATTGTTAGTAGCTTTGAAATGGGCAGTTTTACAGACTACTCGGGAGAGTGTTCGGTGGCTGGGGTAGTTGCATTCCCTGAAGATGAGTTAATAATCAGGGACAGATGACCTATTCCTTTAAGGAAAAAATAACAAAATAATAGCACCTTTTCTGTACGTAATGTCAGTATGGATTAGTGTTTAGAACAACGTAGTTTGCACATCAATCGGCAAAATTTCAGCTCTCTCATTAGCCAACAGGTAGAAGGTGGCGAATCCACTAGTAACTGATTTTCGTTTGAGATTTGAAACTAAAAATAAACAGCCTGAATGCACCCTTTACTTAGAAAAGCATAAGATTAAATAGGGAGTGCAGTTAGGAATACTACCGAGATGGGGCCGTTTAATGCTGGCAAGAACTTGTTTTCCAGGATGTTCTAGAATTCTAGATTGTTCTCTAACAGTCATGCGCGAAAGGATTGCGCCCGTTTTTCCTATGACTCCGACCTTTTGGCCTGGCGGGTTCTGCAGCTTTCTCTTGGAGTTTCTCATTGGTGTTCAGCAATCTTGGTGCCGCCTCCTAAGGCCAAGAAAACCCTCTATTGGACCCTTTATGCCTTCGTTTATCCTGGGGCCGAGTGGGTAATGGCCGAGGGAAATGGAAGCTTTCCCATAAAAAGTATCCAGTTCCCATAAAGAGTATCCATTTTTCCAGAAGATGTATCAAACAAGTGAACGCATCAGGCGGGGGGAGCGCGAACGATCGGAACCGAAAGCTAGTGCGTTTAGTTTGGAACATCGGGGTGCTTTATCAACGGACCGAGCTACTTCCGGGAGAGAATTGGGCGGGCGGGGCGTTCTGTGCGATTGGCGGCTTTTGTTGACTTCCTAAATAACCGATCTGCGGACAGTTGTTGAAGCCAAACACGTGAAGACGCAGTGACCCTCAGGCCGCCGGAACAGGGCACTACCGACACCCCGATGGCCGGAACTCTGGTGAGTGTCCGGGTGGACAGCAGGGAGCTCAAGGGAGGGGCCTCGTGCCGGCTTCGCTGATCACGTGCTGAAGAAGCGAATCAGGAATTTGCCCGCAGTCTCTAAGGCGGGGTTGCGTTCCAAGCCCCCTCTCTGAGTCCCTGACCCCTCTTGCAGTCTCTCTGTCGCCCCCCACCTCCGGCCCGAGTTAGCAAGTTGCTTTCAGGTCCTAGAAAGAATCCTGAGTTGAGCACTAGCTAGAGGTGACAATGTTAGGTTCCGTTTTTTATAGCTTGCAGTCTCACTTCCGTTCTTAACTTTAGATCGCCCAGGAGATCGGAATCTGGTTCTTAGCTGGTTAAAGTGCCTGTCTAGTAAACAGGAGATCCTGAGTTCGAATCCCAGCGGGACCTCTACTGACTTGTGCTGGTTCTTAATTATAGTAATAGTCTAGGGTAGATCAATGGCTGGGGGAGGCTGGGGGAGAGAGGGTGCGGTTGTTGGCACTTGTTAAAGCGGGGAAGTGTGTTCTCTTTTGCTTTTTGGCTTTTGAACCACGCCGGCGGTTCCGTCTTATAGGTTTTGAAATTCTTTACAAATGCTGCAGAATTTTTACATTAATGTTCGAGAAGTTTCTCAAGTACTGTTTCTTTAGGTAGCTTGCAGACATATAATTCTTATTCTATAATTTTTTTGCATACGGAAATCTTTTAATTTAGCCTTAACTTCACCTTGAAAAGAGAACACAAGAGGGGTCTGAGAGATAGTTCAGCGGATAGGACTCACTTTGCTCGCTTGCGACCAGAGGTTCAATTCCCATATGGTCCCCATTCCCCAAGAGGAGACAGAGTCCCGAGTAATCCAGGTTCACCCCTGGGTGTGGCTCAAAAGCCAAAAAGAAAAAGACAACACATTTCCCTACTTTACCAAATGGTAGCTCCCACCCCTTCCCCCTTTCTGCCATTACTTCATTAATATGAAGGTTTTGCAAAATACTGAATGCCTGAATTGCCAGTTGTCAAGTGAATAAACTTTTGAGCCCTAACTTTAAAAAATCAAGATTTAGAAGTTAGGGGTGTAACTCAGTGGCAGAGTACTTACCTTGCATGTGTGAAGCCTTGAGTTTGAATCCCAACAATGCGAAAAAAAACCCCAGAAATTTCTATGAGAGAAATGTGTTCATACATAAACCTGCAAAGTCGTTGAAATCTCAACTGTTTGATATTGTGCATTTGTGAGGGGGTGGAGAGGTGGTAATATACACTTCTGTAATTTTTCTTACAGGATTTTAAGACTCATGTAGATCAAGCATGTAGAGCTGCTGAGGAATTTGTCAATATTTACTACGAGACAATGGATAAAAGAAGACAGGTGAGTGTTAGACTCTATTACTTGATTAAATACCCGTGTGTTGCTTTTTTGTTTGTTTTTTATTTGGGGTGAGTTAGCAACTCACCGGAGTTGCATAAATGATAATTGTGGATTTCTTATTTTTTGGAAAAATGAACATTATTTAGGAAAGATGTGGTTATGATACTGATGGAAGTGTGGGTTCTGGAATTTTATCCCAGCTTTGCCTTAATCCAGCTCCATGACCTTGGGCAAGTTTCATGCTTTTCCTAACTTCATTTTATTTTTGGGGGAGTAAGTGGGAATTTATTTAAATACTGCATAGTGTACAGCATATATTTACTTAACTATGTTACTTTTTTTCTTAGCCCCGTAGTTTGCCCAATATGTTTAAAATAGTATTAGTACTAGTAAAGGGCTTTTACAAATTCAAAGCACTTTCCCCTAATTTCCGCCTTTCATTTCATATTTTAATAGATAATTTCTGATTAGAGTTTACAGTTCTTGCTCCTGCTCACAAACAGAATACACACATGCTTGAATATTTTGTGTCTCCAACAGAAGAAGTCATCATTTCATCAGTTTTATTGTGTTATATTTTGTCCCTGAACTATAGCTATTTTCATATGTGCCAATATCTTGCTTCATCGCTTATAAACATAGGACTGTTTTAGTGAACTTTATACTGTAAATACAGGAGTTAATATCTCTAAAAGCCTTTCATAAGGTAGAAGATAAAAGTTCCTGCTAGTTGATGTTTAATGAAATGGGGCAGGTGCAATAGCGTGACAGTGGGTAGTGTGTCTCAAAGCTTTCAAATGTAAAATAGAAAAAAATACATTTCATCACCCGACTAGATAAATATGTTTAACTTTCATCCAAGTTAAATGTTTGATGAGCAAATAATATGTCCTAGTGAATAATTCCTGTGATTTGACTAAACAGCTGATGTTTACATTATTTGGACCTTAGTACACTTATCAAAGATTCTGTTTTAACAGGTACTCATGGATCTTTTCAACTTAGTATGCTGTGTTAGCAGTAGTAAAAAGAGCCTATTCTTCCTAATACTAATAGTACTAGTAAAGGGGATTTTCATTCAAAGCACTTTCCCCTAATTTCCACCTTTAATTTTATATTATATTTTATTTTATTTTTTATTATTAGTGAAAAACCATGAGGTACAGTTGTAGACTTAAAATTTTTGTGCTTGGGTTTCAGTTATACAATGATTGAGTACCCATCCCTCCACCAGTGCCCATTCTCCACCACCGAGGATCCCAGTATCCCTCCCAACCCCTACCCCCCCCCATTCCACCCCGCACCTGTGGCAGGGCACTCCCCTCTGCTCTCTCTCTCTCTCTCTCTCTCTCTCTCTCTCTCTCTCTCCTTTTGGGTGCTGTGGTTTGCAAAATAGGCATTGAGTGGCAATAATGTTTGGTCTATAGTCTACTTTCAGCATGCATCTCCCATTCTGGGAGGATCCTCACAACACCCTTTACTTGGTGTTCCCTTCTCTATCTGAGGTGCCTTTTCCCCTAGCATGTGCGGCTGTCCTCCAAGCCATGGACTGAACCTCCTGGTACTTACCTTGGCTATTCTTGGGTGTTAGTCTCCTATTTTGTTACTTTATATTCTCCAGATGAATGTAATATTTCTATGTCTGTCCCTCTCTTTCTGACTCATTTCACATAGCATGATACTTTCCATGTAGAACCACTTGTATGTAAATTTCATGACTTCAGCCCGGCAAGCTACCGAGAGTATTCGATATGCCAGACACAGTAACAACAAAGTCTCCAATGGAGACGTTACTGGGCCCGCTCGAGCAAATCGACGATCAACGGGAGGGGCTTTACCTTTACCTTTACCATCTTTTCTAACAGCTACATAGTATTCCATTGTGTAGATGTACAAAAGTTTCTTTAAACAGTCATCTGTTCTCGGGCACTCAGATTTTTTCCACATTTTGGCTATTGTAAACAGTGCAGCAATGAACATAGAAGTGCGGATGTCATTTCAACTGTACATTTCTGATTCTCTGGGTTATATTCCCAGGAGTGGTATTTCTGGATCAAATGGGAACTAATTTTTTGAGAATCGTCCATTCTGTTTTCCAAAAGGGCTGAACCAGTCGGCATTCCCACCAGCAGTGAAGGAGGGTCCCTTTATCGACACATCTGTGCAAGCACCGGTTGCTTTTGTTCTTTTGGATGTGGGCCAGTCTCTGTGGTGTGAGATGATATCTCATTGTTGTCTTGATCTACATCTCCCTGATGATTAATGATGTAGAGCATTTTCTCATGTGTCTTTTTGCCATTTCTATTTTTCTTTGAAAAAGTTTCTGTTCATTTCGTCACCCCATTTTTGATGGGGTTGGATGTTTTCTTCTTGTGGAGTTCAACCAGTACTTGGTATTTCCTTGATATCAACCCCTTGTCAGATGGGTATTGGGCAAATATCCTCTCCCATTCTGTAGTCTGTCTTTGTACTTTGGTCACTGTTTCTTTTGAGGTACATAAGCTTCTTATTTAAAGATAGTCCCATTTATCTATCTCTGTTTCGCTTGCTTGACCAGTGGCATGTCATCTTTGAAGATACCGTTAGCTTCAGTGTCATGGAGGGTTTTGCCAACCTTGTATTCAGTGTATCTTATGGATTCTGGTCTGATGGTGAGATCTTTAATCCATTTTGATCTTTTGTACATTGTGTTAAGCAGTGGTCTGAGCCCAGTTTTTGCATGTAGCTGTCCAGTTTTGCCAGAACATTTGTTATAGAGGCTTTCTTTCCTCCACTTCTCCTTCTTGTTCCCTTATCAAATATTAGATGATCATATGTTTGGGGGGAGGTGTCATTATATTCCACCCTGTTCCGTTGGTCTTCAGCTCTGCCTTTGTTCCAGTACCATGCTGTTTTAATTATTACTGCTTTGTAGTAGAGTTTGAAGTTAGGGAGCTTGATTCCTCCCATTTTCTTTTTTTCCCAACAATTGCTTTAGCTATTCGTGGGGGCTTAATGTTCCATATGAATTTCAGGAGTGTTTGCTCCATTTCTTTGAAGAATGTCATTGGTATCATTAGAGGGATCACATTGAATTTGTACAATGTTTTGGAGAATATTGCCATTTTGACAATGTAAATTCTCCCAATCCATGAGCAGGGGATATCTTTCCATTTTCTCATGTCCTCTTTTATTTCCTGAAGTAGCATTTTGTAGTTTTCTTTGTATCGGTCCTTTACTTGCTTAGTTTAGTTGATTCCTACGTACTTTATTTTCTGGGTCCCAATTGTGAACGGGATTGTTTTCTTCATGTCACTTTCTCCTCTCACTATTTGCATATAGGAAAGCCATAGACTTTGGGGTATTGATTTTATAGCCTGCAACTACACTATACAAATCTGTTGCTTCTAGGAGCTCCTTGGTAGAGGCTTTAGGGTTCTCTAAGTATAGTATCATATCATCTGCGAATAGTGAGAGCTTGATTTCTTCCTTTCCTACCTGAATGCCTTTAATATCTTTTTCTTGCCTAATTGCTATTGCAAGTACTTCCAGTACTATATTGAAGAGCTGTGGAGAGAGTGGGCGTCCTTGTCTCATCCCTGATCTTAGAGGGAAGGCTCTCAGTTTTTGCCCATTGAGGATGATGCTTGCTGTAGGCTTGTGGTAGACGGCTTTAACTATATTGAGGAAAGTCCGCTCTATCCCCAATTTGGTGAGAGTTTTCATCATAAACTGTTGCTGGATCTTGTCAAATGTTTTCTCTGCATCTATTGATATGATCATATGGTTTTTATCTTTTCTTTTGTTGATATGATGGATTATGTTAATGGATTTCTGAATGTTAAACCATCCTCGCATCCCCGGGATGAATCCCACTTGGTCATAGTGTATGATCTTTTTGATGAGTTGTTGAGTTCTATTTGCTAGTATTTTGTTGAGAATCTTTGCAGCCGTGTTCATCCTGGATATCGCCCTATAGTTTTCTTGTGGCGTCTTTGTTTCCTTTTGGCATTAGAAAGATATGGGTGTCATAGAAACTTTTGGGGAGAGTTTCTGTTTCTTCAACTTCCTGGAAAAGCTTGTGAAGAACTGGCACTAGGTCCTCTTTAAGTGGTTGGAAAAATTGCCTAGTGAATCCATCTGGACCTGGGCTTTTGTTTTTAGGAAGACTTTTAATTACAGTTTCAATTTCCTTGATGTTAATAGGACTATTCAGGTACTCTAGATCTTCTTGATTCAGACTTGGGAGATTATAGGAATCCAGGAATTTATCCATTTCTTTTAGGTTCTCTTGTTTCCTGGCATACAGACTTTCAAAGTATTCTCTGATGATCTTTTGAATTTCTTTGGTTTCTGTTGTGATATCACCCTTCTCATTTCTGATTCGGTTTATTAGGGTTCTCTCTCTTTCTTTGTGAGTCTTGCTAGTGGTTTATCTATCTTGTTTATTTTCTCGAAGAACCAGCTCTTTGTTTCATTGATCTTTTGGATTGTTTCTTTGGTTTCCATGTGGTCGATTTCTGCTCTAAATTTTATGATCTCTTTCTGTCTGCCTGGTTTGGGTTCCTTTTGTTGGTCCTTTTCTAAGATCTTGAGCTGTTAGGTCAAGTTGTTTATGTGGGCCCTTTCTTCCTTCCTGGGAAATGCTTGTTGAGCTATAAATTTTCCCCTTAACATGGCTTTTCCTGCAACCGATAAGTTCTGTTAGCTCATGTCTTCATTCTCATTTATTTCCAGGTATCTTTTGATTTCGTCCTTGACTTCCTTCCTGACCCACTCATTGTTCAGCATTGAGTTGTTTAATTTACAGGTGTTTGATTTGGTTCTCCATGTCTGTGTGTGATTCACTTCTATCTTCAGTGCATCGTGGTCTTAAAAGATTGTTTATACTATTTCTATCTTCCTGATTCTATTAAGGTATGTTTTGTTCCTAACACATGGTCTATTTTGGAAAATGTTCCTTGTGCATGGAGAAGAATTTGTTTTCTTCTTTTGGGGATATAAAGGTCTTTAATCCTCTTCTATTTCTTCCTTCAAAGTCAATGTTTCCTTGCTGAGTTTTCTTCTTGTTGATCTATTCGGAGGTGATAAGGCGATGTTGAAGTCTACAGCTACTATTGTGTTGCTAGCAATGTCCTCCTTAAAATCTATTAGCAGTTTTTTTAAAAATATTTAGCTGTTCCCTCATTAGGTGTATATATATTTAAGAGTATGATTTCTTCCTGTTGTACGTATCCCTTGATGAATAGAAAATGGCCTTCACTGTCCCTTCTAATCCTTTTCAATCTGAAATTTGTGTTGTCAGAGACTAGTATGGTGCCCCAGCTTTTTTTAAGAATCTGTTTGCTTGCAGGATTGTTTTCCATCCTTTAACTTTGAGTCTGTGTTTCCTCTGACTGTTCAGATGAGTTTCTTATAGGTAGCAGAATGTTGGGTTTTGTCTCTGAATCCATTTTGCCACTCTGTGTCTTTTAATTGGTGAATGTAGACCATTGAATTTGAGAGAGATTATTGTTACGGGGTTTTGTGTCATCGTTCTGTAAGGGTCTGTTGTGCTTGTAGGGTTCGTCTTGTCTTGTAGTAGCCCCTTTAATCCTTCTTTTAGGTTTGGTTTTGAGTCTATGAAGTTCCTGAGCTGCTGTTTATCCACAAAATTTTGTATCATTCCTTTGAGTTCTAGTGAGAGTTTAGCCAGATAGAGTATTCTTGGTGAAGCATTCATTTCAGTGAGTTTTTTTTTTCACTATATCCCACCATTGCTTTTGGGCGTGCAGGTTTTCCTCTGATACGTTTGCTGTGAATCTAAGGGGTACTCCTTTGTATGTGATTTCCTTCTTTGACCTTGCTGCTTGCAGTATTGTATCTCTATCCATGGCATTCATCATTCTAACTATTATATATCTTGGATTGTTTTTGTTAGGGTCTCTTTTAGCTGGCACCCTTCGGGCTCCTTGAATCTGAATGGTTGCATTGTCCAGCTCTGGGAACTGTTCAGCAATGATTTGTTTAACCGTGGCTTTTTCATTGGGATTATTTCTCTGACCTTCTGGTACTCCAATGATTCTAATTTGTTCCTCTTGGAATCATGTCCTAGGACTCTGATTCACTCTAGAGCTATTTTGAGTTCTCTTGCCATTGTTTGTTGTTGCTTGTAGGCTTCATGGAGTTGATCTTCCAGCTCACTGATTTTGTCTACAGCTCTTGCCATTCTATTGTTGAGGGCACAGACTAAGTTTTTTATTTCATCTACCGAATCTTATATTTGTGACATTTCTGTGCGTAGCTTTCCATTTCTGCTCTCATTTCTTCCTGTATTTTCTCGGTTGTTTCTCTAATGTTCTACTTTAATTTACTGGATATCTGTCTCACTGTTTCATTGAGTTCATTGAACATCTTCATTACTTCATATCTGAATTCTTTCTCAGAGAGGTCCCTTCGGTGAGTAGCACCTACTGAAGCTTTTGGACTCTTTTCATCATCCTCCCCTCATGATGGGAATTTGTGTTGTTTTTTCTTGTTTGTGTGGAGGTATGTAGATTGAGATGTTACACAAGATTGTTGGGTATGAGTAAATTACCTACGGCCCAAAATTAGGCCACTCCTACTTCTACAGAGACCACTCCCACTTCTGAAAAGGCCATGCCCCCTACGTGTACCTGGTATGTTTGGGTGGTACAACCTGTGGGAGGAAGAAGAGCGGGCACGGCGTTGGGTACGAACAGGAAGAGGCTTAGGGATGGTGAGCATCCCAGGGTCCTAGAAGACTACTGGGGCACATATGCAGAGAAAGTCAAGTCACGGGTTCAAATACTGACTGGCCTGGGGGAGGAAGAAGACCAGGCACAGCGTTGGGGATGAACAGGAAAAGGCTCAGGTTTGGTAAGCGTCCAGGGTCCTAGAGGACGCCTGGGGCACGTACGCGGAGAAAGCCAAGTCCTGTGTTCGATTATTGACTGACCTGGGAGAGGAAGAAGACCCTCATTTTATATTTTAATAGATAATTTCTGATTAGAGCTGGCAGGTCTTGTTCCAGCTCATAAATAGAATCCACATGCCTTGAATATTTGCAATATTTCTTCAACAGAACAAATTATCATTTCATCAGTTTTCTTGTGTTCTATTTTGTCCCTGAACTGTAACTAGTTATTTTCATATGTGCCAATGTCTTGCTTCATCACTTGTCAGCATAGGACTATTTAAACAGAGTCTTTGATAAACAAATTAAGGCCCAAATAAGGCAGAACTCTGCTGTGAACTCAAATCACAGGAATTATTCACTTGGACACATTATTTGCTTAATTCAAACATTTAACTTGGATGAAAATTAAACAATTTATTTAGTCTGGTGATGAAATATACTTTTTTTGTATTTTACTTTTGAAAGCTTCAAGACACAATACCCACATACATGCATCATTAAAGTATTTCAAACATTTAAGTGACTCAAGTGTACATAAACACTAGAATTGTACTGTGCAAGGATAGATTTTTTGAAAATTTTCTTAATTTTCATATTAGACAAGGGAAGTATACTGTTATACTTCCAGTATACTGGTATAATGGGATTGCATATATTTGAAACCTGTCATCATTTAATCATTTTAATACTGGAATTGAAACTTTGAAACTCTGTTCCAGTATGGATGCAAAGTTTTCTCATTGTGGCTCTAGTGATACAAAAAAGGGAAAACTTTAGGTGTAAGATAATGAGTAAGGTCAAGATTATAAGGTAGATTATCTTTACATTGTCATCCAGTGGGAGGTACTATTAGAGATGGATGGAAATAAGAAAATGCTTATGTACCACTTAGAATTTTCCAGTCTTCTATAAAATATTTATCCAGGAGAGGAACTTAGTATAGGATGGGGTGAGGTGTCCAATGGACTCTTGTGGTACTTTGATGGTGGGTGTGTTGCGTATTTTGATCATGCAAAATTGTACCCCTTAAGCAAGTAAGCAAGTTTTTCATTTTCATTTCATTTCATCATCCTGTTAATCGTCGATTGCCTCGAGCAGGCCCCAGTAACGTCTCTTTCATCCTAGCCCTGACATTATATTCACGGCTCTTTAGGAGAATGAGACCCATCATTGTTACTGGTATTTGGCATATTTGGTACGCCACGGGGAGTTCGCCAGACTCTGCCCTGTGGGCAGGCTACATTCGATAGCCTGCAAGTTTGTCCAAAGTAGGAATGAGATAATAAGATGTCATAAAAATAAAGTTTTGATAAGATGTCGCGCGGCTGCGTCCTGAAGATCTTCGGCTGCCGGAGCCCCGGTCGGGGCGGGGAGGAAAGCTCAACCCGCTCCCCTCCAAGGGGTCCCGGCGAGGGACACCCAGGCACGGGGGCAAAAAGACTGCAGCGTTCTCGTCCGGGATCTGCATTTTATAGTCTCTGAGTCTTGGCCGCTGATGGGATTACACGGCGCCAGGGGGCCAGGTGGTGGGTGTGACCCCCGCCTGCTGGAATTTGGAGGATCTGGATGGAAGATGCTCGACTCCAATCTGAGTAGGCTTGGAGGTCTCGGCCCCGGAACCCGCGTGGCTTTGTCCCTCTGCCAGTACCTTCATGTGTGCGGAGAGTGGTCTCAGCATGGTGGTGGCTGGTCCTGAAGATCTTCGGCTGCCGGAGCCCCGGTCGGGGCGGGGAGGAAAGCTCAACCCGCTCCCCTCCAAGGGGTCGCGGCGAGGGACACCCAGGCACGGGGCAAAAAGACTGCAGCGTTCTCGTCCGGGATCTGCATTTTATATTCTCTGAGTCTTGGCCGCTGATGGGATTACACGGCGCCAGGGGGCCAGGTGGTGGGTGTGACCCCCGGGTTGAGCTTTCCTCCCCGCCCCAACCGGGGCTCCAGCAGCCGAAGATCTTCAGGACCAGCCACCACCATGTTGAGACCACTCTCCGCACACATGAAGGTACTGGCAGAGGGACAAAGCCACGCGGGTTCCGGGGCCGAGACCTCCAAGCCTACTCGGATTGGAGTCGAGCATCTTCCATCCAGATCCTCCAAATTCCAGCAGGCGGGGGTCACACCCACCACCTGGCCCCCTGGCGCCGTGTAATCCCATCAGCGGCCAAGACTCAGAGACTATAAAATGCAGATCCCGGACGAGAACGCTGCAGTCTATTTGCCCCCGTGCCTGGGTGTCCCTCGCCGCGACCCCTTGGAGGGGAGCGGGTTGAGCTTTCCTCCCCGCCCCGACCGGGGCTCCGGCAGCCGAAGATCTTCAGGACCAGCCACCACCATGCTGAGACCACTCTCCGCACACATGAAGGTACTGGCAGAGGGACAAAGCCACGCGGGTTCCGGGGCCGAGACCTCCAAGCCTACTCGGATTGGAGTCGAGCATCTTCCACCCAGATCCTCCAAATTCCAGTAGGCGGGGGTCACACCCACCACCTGGCCCCCTGGCGCCGTGTAATCCCATCAGCGGCCAAGACTCAGAGACTATAAAATCCAGATCCCGGACGAGAACGCTGCAGGCTTTTTGCCCCCGTGCCTGGGTGTCCCTCGCCGGGACCCCTTGGAGGGGAGCGGGTTGAGCTTTCCTCCCCGCCCCGACCGGGGCTCCGGCAGCCGAAGATCTTCAGGACCAGCCACCACCATGCTGAGACCACTCTCCGCACACATGAAGTAAGCAAGTAAACCTTGTAAATCAACTTTGCTGCAATTAAAAAATATGTTTGGTCAAGATCAAAAGTCTTTTCTCTTTTCCTTCCTTCATAGGTATTAACCAGACTGTATCTGGACAAGGCCACTTTAATCTGGAATGGAAATATTGTTACAGGCCTGGATGCCCTGTTGAATTTTTTTGACATGTTGCCTTCTAGTGAGTTCCAGATCAATGTGTTAGATTGCCAACCAGTTCATGGTAAGACAAGTACTTTCCTTTGTTTTACATTAGTGATCACTGAGCTTTAACAACAAAAGCAACATCTTTTTAATAATAGAATTAATTACTTTATTAAACAAGTTAAATACAATGAAAATATCAGCTGTAACAGGCTTTAGTCTTCCTTTAGAGTAAATTCAGATCATCACATAAGGTTTTTGTGACTTGTGTGATTATATTTTGTTAAAAGTTATGTGAAAATTGAGACTAGATATAATTTTTGTTGATATAAAATTACCACTTTTTATAAAGTAGTGAGGTTTGTGTGTCTTGAAATACCTCCATAGAAAATCATTCCATATGTTTTATTAACTATCTTCCTACTTTATTAACTTTCAACCTACTAAAATTTCATGGAAGAAGTTTACTCTGGTAAGTGCCTTTTTGTCTGCAAAGCCCGGCAAGCTACCCGTGGCGTATTGGATATGCCAAAAACAGTAACAATAACTGGTCTCATTCCCATGACCCTGAAAGAGCCTCCAATACGGCAACGTTGGAAAATACGAGTAAGGAGAGGCTGCTAAAATCTCAGGGCTGGGATGGAGATGTTACTAGGCGTCCACTCGAGTAAATTGATGAACAATGGATTACAGTGATCCAGTAAAGTGCCTTTTCTCAAAATAGAATTTGATTCTAGGTAAATTGTTGCAATTTATAGGATTAACCTCTAGGTGGCGTTCTAAGTATGTTAAATAGTTTAGGACAGGTTGATTTTAGTTCTTCAAAAGTATAACTTTAACAATCAAAATAGGATGGCTATTTTTCCCTTTTTAGTTCTTTAGAAGAATACTAGTGGGGCTGGAGCAATAGCACAGCGGGTAGGGCATTTGCCTTGTACGCGGCCAACCCGGGTTCAATTCCCAGCATCCCGTATGGTCCCCTGAGCACCGCAAGGGGTAATTCCTGAGTGCAGAGCCAGGAGTAACCCCTGTGCATCGCCAGATATGATCCAAAAAAGCAATAAATAAATAAATAAACAAAAAAACACTAGCTTAAGAAGCAAAATATGCAAAAGCTCTGTTATAACCCAAGGAAATGTTATACACATACAGAAAACAAATGGTCCTGTAACCTGTAAAAAGGTCCATAAAATCTTTTATTATTTTATTTTATTACCATTCGTTTCCTGTATAAATATAACATTTCTTTGGGTTAGTTATTTTATTACTATCAAGCAACAGGGACAAATGGAGACGTTACTGGCACCCTCTCGAGCAAATCGATGAGTAACGGGATATCAAGTGATCAAGTGATTGTGAAATTTAGTGCACGCCAAATATTTCTGGAATTAAAATACTTCTACTATCTTTGAAATGATTGTTTAGTTTTCTAACTTTGAGCATGCAGATTCAAGATCATGCTTAAGGTGAAAAAAGTACATGAAAATTTTTCAGTCTTTAGTAAAAAGCCATGTAGCTTAAGCCTCAAATCTTCATATTTAAAAATAGAAACTGACCTCTGTTTTTCTCCCACTCCTTTTTCCCCTCTTGCGTTCTCCCACTCATTCACTCTCATTTTCTCTCATTTTCTTTACCTCTTTCTCCCTCTCTCTCTCCCCGCTACCCTGGGGCTGGGTCTAAAGAACATGCTACTCAAGCCCAGACTACGGTCCTCGTTGTGACCAGTGGAATCGTGAAGTTTGATGGAAATAAGCAGCATTTCTTCAACCAGAATTTCCTGCTAACTGCTCAGTCCTCGCCTGAGAGCACTGTGTGGAAAATTGCAAGCGATTGTTTCCGTTTTCAAGATTGGTATTGTAATTAAAGTGGCAAAAGTCTATTTTGCATTGATCCTTTAGTTCCAGCAACAAATTTATGTGAATTAATTTACTTTTGAAGACATGATAAGTTAGTATGTGCTGAAACTATTTGCTTTAATTTTTTATTCAAACAGCAACATTGCTAGCTGCTTCAACTTGGATAGTTGACCTTAAGAGCTTTGAGACTAGTTTTTTTAGCATGTCTTGCAGTATATTGAATGTGTGATTTCTCCACTTAACTTACTACGAGCCCAACTTAATGCAAAGGTGACATCCTTTCATAATACTATCTATGGGATAATTAGCAGAATATAACCCTCTGGGAGTAAGTGGTATTTTTTCTTATAAGGTAAATTTTAAAGTTAGGACATAGACACATAGACCTACTATAGTATACACTAGTTAATACAGTCTTCATTTGAGGTATTTACAAGTCAGATCAAGGAAAATATTACTTATTTAGGATTACTAACTATTCTGACATAATAGAATCATGTATAGAAATGTTCAGCAGTCTTTGTATATGAATTTTTATGTCGGCATGTTTTCTTATAAATTAAATTAATTACTAAGGGGGCTTAAATGTTCTCTGATGATACTTGAGTACTTGATATAGTGGGCTTAAAAGAAGAATTCCTAAAAAAGATTTTTCTTGGCAGCCCCATGTCTATAATTGTAAGGGATAAATGGAAGTAAGACTAATAGCTTTAGTGGGAGAATGAGGAGTGAGAAATGTAGGGATCTGAGCTCAATCAAATGTAAAGAGGAGTAGCCAAAAGGGCAAAGTTTGATACTGTTTTTCTACCTCCTAAAAATATAGCCTATTTTTTGAAATTAACTATGGTAAGTTCCTGCTAATGATCATGCTTGTCCTTTTGTTATAAGAAGAAATTTTAAAGATTTTTCTAATTCAACTCATACTTAATGCCAATGGATTTCTCAATTTATTCAATAACCCAGGAGTAAGATATAAGCAATGAACCTGACCTTGCAGCAATGCCTGATAGGAAGGTTGAAAACAAAGCCATTCATATCTCTTTGGGATACCTTTCATTTCTAAGTCTTCCATGTGAACTTCAGGACAAAACTATCCTGTGTATACATGCTCCCAGAACATGTGATTTATTTTCTGTGTTTTACATTGTTAATTTTATTATATTTTAAATTGTTTAATTTTATGATTTATTTTTCTATTTATCATCAAACAGATTGTTTTAAAACATGTTCCTGTTATGTGATACTTTGTTTTTATAAATAGAAAATAGAGAAAAGTAGCGCTTCATAATCTCAAGGACCTGGAGGAAAATTTGTCTCAAAATTTAAAGATAAAGTAGACCTAATTGTGATTTTTGCTTAAACTGAAACTTTTTGCCTGTCCTGAATTTATTGTTTTGATTATTTTTAACTTTACCTTGTCTCTAGAAATTCAAAATACTTATCATCAACTTGGAAACTTAAGTAGTTCATTACTCTTGCCCTAAAGAATACATTGGAGAAAGAGTTGGAACTGAAATTTAGAGCATACCTCCTTGTACATACATAAATTTCAACGTAAACTTTAGTTTCAGATGAACCTTTTAAAACTACAGCATGAGCAGCAATAGAGTACCCAAATACTGCCTTTCCCCCTGAGGAGAACAGTATCAAGTAAAAGCTGCATATTAAAAAGCAATAATTGGGGCACCCGTGGCCTCATGGGATAGGGGGTGAAACCGGTCCATCCTTCCCGCTGTGCCGAGACCACGAGTTGCCTCCCACGAGAGGCTCTCCGGCTCTGGAACGACTGTGATCCCAGAGGCACACAAACCAATCTCAGAACCCAGCAGCTTTGGGCAGAAATCCCTCCAGACTTAATTAGTAAAATATCAGAAATCCAAAATCATAATAGAGGCCACAAGACATCATGTGCACAGCGGGTAGGGCGTTCGCCTTACAAGCGGCCAACATGGCCGACCCGAGTTCGATTCCTCCGCCCCTCTCGGAGAGCCCGGCAAGCTACCGAGAGTATTGGATATGCCAGACACAGTAACAACAAAGTCTCCAATGGAGACGTTACTGGGCCCGCTCGAGCATAATCTGCAATAGAAAACAAATTATCTAACCATGCCTTTTCAGCAGGTCTGATTGTTGGGGGGGAAATTCCAAATAATAATGGTGCATCTTTTGTCAAAATAATGAATGTAATCAAAGTATAGAGAGAGAGTTAAGTGAAAATGATCTGCCTCACAGACAGGGGGAAGGGTGGATGGGAGTATACTGGGGTTCTGGTGGGAAATGTGCACTGGTGAAGGGATGGGTGTTTGATCATTGTATGACTGTGACTTAAACCTGAAAGCTTTGTAATTGTTCTCACGGTGATTCAGTAAATAAATAATAACAAAAAAAGCAATAATTGAATTCAAGTGGTTATATACTACTCACCAGCCATATATTTTGGGGCTTGTGTATGAATTGCTTATCTGATCTCTGTATAATAACTTTCAAATGACTGGAACTGCTCTTCTATGGACTAGACTGTATTTTTGACATGCTCCTATTTTTGTAATTTGAAAAGCTGAAAATAAAATTTGCCTTGTGATATTTTCTCAAGCTTATTTAAGATCTTTCAGGTTTTTATAAAAATAATGCCAAATCGGAGCTGATGAGAGATTAACACAGGTAAGGTAAGGTGCTCACATTGTGTATAGTCAATCCAGATTTGACATTCAGCATCCTACATGGTTCCCAAAGTCCTTCTCTGAGTGATCCCTGAGTGAAGAGCCAGGAGGAATCGCTGAACACCTGTGGACATTGCCCAAAAATAATCCCCCGGAAATTGCGCCCCAATTCAAATCCAGATACTTGTTTCCTTACAATATAAGGTTTTTCAAGTTTGAAAAAAAGAGCACTGAAAACAATGATTGATAATTTGGACTTTATCTTTTCTCTAACCCACCAGTTTTTACTTTTATTCTACCATCTAGTCACATTCTTAACATCACCTGTTTGAGATGCTCTGAATTTTAACCTTGAGCATCTAGTCAAAATAGTAGGTATTGAAATCAGAAAAGTTGATTTTCGGAAAGTGTGAATCAATATCCAATTTGTTTGGGGGCCATATTTTGCAGTACTCATGGATCTGTGCAAGGGGATCATTCCTAGTGGTGCTGAAAATTTAAACAGGGTCGACTGTGTTCAAGATAAGTGTAATATCTCTCTGGCCTGAAATTAAATCTTTTTTTGTATAGGGGGGCTACGTGGGACCACACCCAGTAGTAATCAGGCTTAATTGTTGTTGTGTCCTCAGCTATCACTTCTGATTGTTCTTAAAGGACCCAAATGTGGTGCTAGGGATAGAACCTCAGTCAGCTACATGCAAGGCAAGCACCTTAATATGCTGTATTTTCTCTCTGGTCCCATAAATCTTTAAATCTCCAAAAAGAATACATCAGCAAATACTTGGGAAGGAATGAGAAGAGGCAGTGACTCTTGAAATAAACTACTATATTTCACCTCTTCAAAATAAACATTTCCCACATTTTAATTAAAAGTAGTATGGTTCTGAAATTGATACAATATTATAGTTTAATAATCTTTTTCTCCTCAGTAGTAAAGTACTAATGAATCTAATAATGGCATTTAATAAATACAGTAAATCAATTTTGCCAAGAATAAATTGATCAGAGGACCAGAGCCAGTAAAATCCTTCACAACCAACCTGGGTTCAATCTCCCTGGCAGTACACATGGTCTCCCAACCCCACCCAGGAGTGTTCCATGAGCACCTCTGGGTGTGGCCTCAAAGCAGTCAAGAAATGACAATAGTGGATATAAAAGACTATAAAGGTAAGAGACTAGAAAATCATGAATGAAATTCATCGCTAAGTTTTTATTTTATGACAAGCCCATGTGGCTGGAAAAGTAAATCTTTAAGCACATGCATGCCTTGGTGAATTCAAATAACACTTTTCTAGTTTTGGAAAATTTTTAACCAGTAACATTAAAATGTCTTAAAACATGTTCTCTGGCCAGAGAGTACAGCAGGTAAGGTGTTTCCATTGCATGTGATCAACCATAGTTTGATCCCTGGCATTGCATAGGTTCTCCTGGGAGCTGGCAAGAGTAATCCAGGAGCACTGAGTTAGTACCATGAACATAGCCAGGTATGGACTCAAACCATCATAAAAAGTATAGTCTCAGTGAGATTTTAAAGAAGGATACGTGCAGTGCTTAGGAAAGGAACAAAAAAATCAGGTAGAAAACAGTGAGATAATGTACTGGACATGACACTCAAGAATAGCAACCAACCATCATTAACTATGTATTTGTGTTAGGTTATACCAAGCACCTCACATGCATTTAGGGGAGGGGTGTTGGGAGCCACACCTGGTAATATTCAGGAGTTACTCCTGTCTCAACTCAGAAATCACTCCTGCTGGATTCGAGGGACTGTTTGGGATGTCAGGTATCAACTCCGGGTGGACCACATCCAAGGCAAGCACACTACCCACTTTACAATCTCTCCAGTACTCTACATGCATTTTTATATCAATTGACCTCACAATGATCATAGGAAATTGGTACTGTATCATGACTATTTATCAAATGGGGAAATTGAGATCTGGAGATAGTCACTTCTAAAGAATCTTAATGTCAGAAGCAGGATTCAAAATCAAGTTATCATGATGCTTAATGTTTATGCTATTAAAATTACAGGCACTTCACAAATGATAGTATCCACTATAATTACTATATCTTACATTCCTAGAGATATGCTTGAAGAAAACATGGCTATATATACACCAGTGTGTAATAATTCAGTCATTATGTAATTTGACAGAATCTTACTTCCTTACTGTTCTACGACTAGACTCCTAGAGCAAAGGATAAATATGGAGATATATATTCAGTACATATGTTGCAACTGAGGGAGAATCTTGACTAATATCTAGAAGAATAAATAAATCAGTGTGGGAGCCATTGACTCCAAAGGCAACGGAAACCAGCTCAAGTCACAATTCTGGTATTGGGAGCATCAGATGGTGATACTTTCCATTATTGCTAATCTTTGACCGTTAGAAGGGTTATAGGTTGGTTGTAGCTAACCGCGCTACTCAATTCATTCTGCAGGAAAGACTTACCTTTCAGTAGTGAGGAAGCTGGTTAGTCAACAGTTTCCAGCTGCAGTGCCAACAGGATCTGCTTCAGCATCTGAGCTGAGGATAGGCACTTCTGAAGCAGCCTCTGGACAATTGACTGAACAGCAAAGATGCTAACACCTGAACATTTCAGTTCTCTGTAGGGTTTCTCTAATGGGCTGTACTTACCCCATAGCTCTCTCCTAGATTGGCTGACACAACCTATCTAAATGCTTTCATCCCTTCTCAAGTGTTACATATACATAAATGTCTAGAGACTTCACCATCCTTACCTCTTTATCTTTCACAAGTATTAACCCACCAACAAACCTATTGTACTACATACAGTATCTGCTTACTAGTGTAGTGAGACTGACTCAGAATTTTTTTCTATCTTTTGTTGAACTGAAACACTAATCAATACTGAAAGTGAGTGTCTTGTAGCTTTTCAGCCAGGTATTCTGGTAGCCTGATTGGCCATTTCCATGGATACTACTACAGGCAAGAGAAAGGGAGGGAAAACAGGAGACAGGGCCTCGTTGTAAACCCCCACACCAAGTCTGGGAGACTCCCTCAAATAGTTGAGTGGAAGACTTGGGGTCCCCCGTGCTCACTTCAGTAGCGCATATCCTAAGACTTGGGGCCCAGCCAGAAGTATTTGGCTTTCTGATAGTTGGAATTGAAGAGGGACTGGAAAACATTTTAGTTGTTCTGGTCTGAAAGGCAGTGACAGGAGATGAAGGATGGGGAGGGAAATGCTGAGGAATGGGAGCTTATGGCCCTGTTAGCACTTTTAGCACTCATTAAGAGACCCTGGCATTCTAATATCTTAGCATCCCAGCAGCAAATATGCACTTAATCAGCACTTTCCAAACAGAAACTGACCTGTCAATGATTTCTCTATGCACTGGCTTTCTGCCCCATTTCAACTACCAGGGTCACCTTCATGTATCACCACACCACTGTTACAGGTCAAATATTCTGAACCTAGTCTAGAGTGCACAGATTCACTGGATCTTCAGGAGTGTGATCTGTGATGACATAACGAGAGATAATGAGTATCTGTGGGCAGAAGCCATAATTTTTATAAGCATCTCAATGGGGAGTGTGTTACTGAAAAGATAATTAACTATTGATCCAGAAGAAATGAGCTAATTTTTATGATTAAGTATGCAGAACTAATCTATAGTAGGTAACAAAACATGGGCCAGAATAAAAATTAAACAGGATGCAACACATGCTTTGCATCTAGGAGATCCAGGTATGATCCACCATACCACATAGTCCCCCATGTACCAGAAGGAGCAATGCCCAAGCACTGATCTAGGAATAACTCCTGGCCACCATTGATGTGAGCTCCAAACAAAATTTTAAATAGTTCCACGGATAGAACGAGCAGAAAAAATAATTAGCAAATATGGGACAACTGCATGCGGGGTATTCCTGTCAGTAAGGTGGTTATCACTAGATTAAAACTGGACAAAGACCACAAAGTGATCCTTGAAAGCAAAGCCAAATCTAACCCAGTAGGAAAGGGAAAGGCCGGATACGAGGAAGAAAGAATTGATGCAGGAATAGTTATATGTGGCTTGATTAAAATCTGTAATATGAAAAGAAATTAGAGAAAAAGTCTCATTCTGTACTACTAGATACTAGTAGATACAAAATCATTGTCTTTTTAACCAATAGAAAAACAAGCAGGTTAAAGAAATTCAATATAGTCTTAGTTGAAACACATAAAATTCCTTTCTCGAGATTCCTTTTCAGAAACCCCAAAGATGGCAGTGGCACAGCAGCAAGTGCTAGAGGGATGGCAGCAATCAGCGCTCTGAAAAGCTGGTGTAATTTCTGTGTGAGTGAATGTGGGTGCCCTTTGGATATTCTGGCTTAGGGAGAGTGCCATTAAACGAAACCTGCTGAGTGGGACTCCTTAGGATGGTGGAGGCAGTGGTGCCACCACCAGCTAGAGGAGGTGCCACAACTCTGGACATTATGGGAAGCAGCAGAGTTTTGTTTGTTTTATATTTTTTTATTAGATCACTATGAGATAGACCCTTACAAAGCTGTTTATGATTAGGTTTCAGTCATACAGTGTTCCAACATCCATTCCTTCACCCATGTACATTTCCCAGCACCAGTGGCCCCAATTTTTCTTCGATTACCCCCACCTCCATCACCCTCAGCCTGCTTCTATGGCAGACACTTTCTTTCTCTCTCCTTTTGGGCGTTGTGGTTTGCAACACAGATACTGGAAGTTTGTCGTGTATATCACTTTACCTACTTTTAATACCCAGTTCTTGTTCAGTGTGATCATTTACAACCATTATAGTCATACTGGTCTCTTCTATATCTTACCTACTCTCCACCCCCACCCCCCCACACACACACTTTTGGTGGATTTCAACCAAAGACCAGTTCCCCAGCCCTTATTTTCCCTAGCTTTGGGTTTTATTTTTCTACTA